CCACAGAGCTGGTGATCTCCATGCCAGTTTCCTTTCTGGACTAAATCCCACAGATATGTAGATAAATACTTTTCCCTGACAAAGTTATTAAAAAATCCTGTGCTTTTGTATTTTGTGGCATTTTAATACTACTCCAGGTTCATGACCAAAGCCATCAGACACAACCACCCAGCACTACCCAAGGTAACGCTATACTAAAATCCTTGTGCAGACAGATGCTCCGATAATGAAATGCCACTAAAATGCCTGCCAGCAAAATCAGCCTGAACATACACAGCCCATTCAGGATTTTACTATGCAGGCCTGTTGTCGTGGCAGATAGATGCTTCAAATGAAACCAAGGTCTCCCTGTGCTGTTCTGCATGCAAACACAGAGATTGCCTCTTGTGTGGAAAGACTAGAAAAGTAATTAAGGATAGTTTGAGGAAGAATAGAAATACTAAGGATTTGGCTAGATTGCCCAGGGTGCTTTCGAATTCCCTAGTAATATACCAGAATGATAGTTTGTGTCTTCTGGGATAAAAAAAAAAAAAAACCTAACAAAAGACAGCTGCCTCCAAAAGTCACAGGCACTGAGGGACACACGTGCTTGTACCATATATATGAGCGAGGGACCAAGTCTACACTTGCTTCTCGTCAGTTTAAGAGCTCACACACTAGCTGTGCTCTATGCCCACAATGGAGACAGACATCAAGGTTACAAGAAGGAAGGATGCCCACACAATTAGCAAAATACAGTAGCCACTTCTGTTGTTTCTCTTTTTTACATAAAATAGCTTAAGAATGGCATCGCTCAGTACCAAGTGTGGATTAAAAACCTCATCAAATCCCACTCTTCCAGCAACACAAAAACTCTCAAAAATTCAGCTGGCTGAGATACAGCTTGGAGAAGGAGTGCACCCTCAGTAACTGACTCAAAAATCCCACTTCTTGCAACTCCAAGAATTATTTTTCATATAATATCTACCTATTCACTAGCTAAATCTGATCCTGCTTAGTTTACGACTACACCAAGAGACGGCTTTTTTCCAGTCAGCTTCTGTGGCCTACTTACCACCCCTTTTGTTAATAGTGTGGCTGCTTTGCCTCCAGTTCAAAGGTTCATTCTCATGTGCAGGATTTTTTTTTTTTTTTTTTTTATTTGCTTTGGTTGCTAAGGTGGAAGTTTTAGCATGGTGGGCAAGGATTTAGTCACATGTAAACTACAGGGAACATTATCCTTAGAGATTAATTTGGAAATCAAGTGACAATCAGCTGGATATGTGTTTATTTTCTATTTCTCGAAAGCTTTAAAAGTACCACAGGATTTTTGCATTGTCTGAAGCACTTCTATTCTTCTTCTATATTATTCAACCTCAGAGACAACAAAGAGAGTATCATGCTTGTCTCCAGTGTCAGAGATAAAATTAGTAATTTCACTGCAAATCAGAAAACAAACTAGATAATTAGGAAGAAGAGCTCTACACTCATCAAAACGTTTCACAACCGCCTTTCAGATGTACTGAAGGCAGCTGCCTCACTGTGAAGTTAATTCAATAAGCAGAGGGAACGTAATTCATTTGGTATGTACTGTTTGCTAATCAAAGAGTATTTCTTGGCATCTAAACTGTGCGTGACAGAATGTTAAGCCTGAAAACATATTGTTAGTCCTCGAAGTTTTTCATCAAATCCAAGAAACATAACATGCATGCATGTGAGCGATTCTCCTCACTCAAGCAATGAAGATGAAAGCTGTGTTATAAAGTTTTGTAATGCTGAGCTGTGGTCCTAGGAAAAGCTTACGAGAAATGTGCAGTATAGAAAGCTTGATGACTTTGTAACTTCTCCTTCTTTCAAATTATTGTCCCACAGAGTATTAAGTATGATGACAGCAGCAAAGCCGGTGAGCAAGCATTATCAGTAAAAAACAGTCCTGGTATATCTTCTACTGAATTCAGTCTTAGGAGCATGAAACTGTTTTTTTTAATCAAGGTTACCATGAGCCTCCCATCTTGCATGTCTCTGCTGTGCGGAACAGGATGAGGAATAACGTCACTTCTCCTTCTGAAATCCATTGCCTTAGGAAACTGCTCTACTGCAGTTTGAAGATGTCGACCTCCACCACTACAAGCAGCTGTGATGAAGAACTATTAAACCAACCATCTTGTGTTGGCTACGGAGGAATATTTCACCCTGCTCTTTCACAACATGAGCTACAAAGCAGCAGAAAGGAGCATGGATTGCTGCACAGTGTCTTGTTTACAGTTTTCCTGGTCTGATGGATGCTGGAACTGAGAGAAACCACGTTCCCCCTCTCAGGTGGCCATTGCTCTTCAAATGGTAAATAATCTCCTGAGCAACAAACAACTTCAGAGATCAAAACCTGGCATGTTTTATTGGATCCAAAAGGATCTAAACTTGCTCTATTTTCAGAATTAAGTTAATATGTAAATGAAAATGGCCGCTGTACAGATGGGTGGAAAAAAGAGATGACTAAGGGTTTTATTTGAAAATGCCAAAGGGACGTTTCTTAAACTTACTATTTAATTTAGGGGGAAAAAAGCACACCAGAATTATTTGAAAAATTCAACCTTATTCCACATTTGCATTCAGATCTTTCAAAATTCAATCTGACGGAAAAACTCCACCCAAGAACCCTTACAAAACTGCTGCCAAAAGCAAGATACCACGTTCTTAATGCAAAGCTCTTTGCCAGCATTTATTAATAACCAGAAAATAGTATAAAATATATAAATCTATGCAGCAACTGGCAACAAAAGCACGTATGTTATCTAACTGGATACAATAATGGGATTTTATCTGTGTATTTATTCTGAAAAGGACAGAATAATCTTTTTACAAATAATTATGAGATGGTTCAAAGTAGCAAACACAGCACAGCTAGAACATATGCCCCTTTAGTATGGATTACATCCTTTTAAGTTACTGAAACATTAATGCAGCAAGATTGAAGAGAATTCTGTAAATTCCACTAATTGCACTGCATCCTTTAATTGCTCATCTATTTATTTTTTAACAGGATCATCATCAAATGAGGAGCAGTTCTGAGTATACTTGATGTTTACTTTCAGAGCAGTTAACTCAATATACGTGCTCAGTTTCTGTGTAGATTAACAAACATTTCAAGCCTGTGTCTTCTTGCAGTGTATTTTTATAATAAGTAGTAGGATTTCAAAATGAGATGCCATACTTGGAAGATTAAATACCACCTTTGGAGATAATTTTAAAGGTCCATTTATTTTGCCATGGTTAAAAGAGTTATGCAAAGAAGGAAAAAAGTATTCATGCAGCAGACGTGATTACACACTTGTGGCTCATGTGAAAATCTCAGTTGCAATTTGGAAAAACAACATTTCCAGGTATTCCGGCCCAATTATTTACTGACATTTCAAGTCAGTTATAATCTCAAAATTTGCTGTAGAGAAAGGCATACTAAGAGTTCAAAGGCTCAAGTCATTCAGAGCTCAGCCAAACATATCCAGAATCCTTTTGAACTTTTTATTTTTCCAAACAGCTTCAAGGAAGCACATTATGAGCCAGAGAAGAAGAAAAGGTTTTTTAATGGCTACTTTATTGATGTAGCAAGTTTCAAGAACCTTGTAGTTTCTTGACTGTGCTACTTCATGTTCTGAAGAACACCGAGAAAGATGTTTACCAGGGAAAACAAATCCCTGAACAACAAGGTAAGTGTTTAACAGTAAAATCCATCAACAAAGTAGTATTTCAGTACAGAGAAGTGCTCTTCAGACTCATCAGAAAGGGAGATCCCCAGTCCAATGGAGCCTATAAAAACATACGTGGAGGATATACAAACAGCTGCAAGTGTGGTCGCGCAAGTACTTCTGAATCACGTTCCACTGCTTATAAAACCTTCTGTGTCAGTGTTTTATCATTTCAGGTAAAGTTTTTCCCTGTTTTTTAAAGTTAACAGTTGCTTAGGAAAAATGCCATAAAAATGGCTCAACCTTTCTCAAAAATGAGGCATGTTTTCTTTCTAGGGTGTAGTGTCACAGGCATTGTGTCACTCATCTTGTAGAAGGGGACAGTGTTCCCAATAGACCTTCCTGGCACAAGCACATCCACGCAGCGAGCAGAACATTAGCAGGCCATTGATTCCCATTATAAATTTTTTACACTCTGCAACCCTCCTTCTTTTTTTGAGGGGAAAAAAAATAGCCCTTGTGTCTTGGCATTAAATTTCAGGTTTCCTACCAAGTTGTCAAGAACGTAGTCACACATATATATGCCTTTAAGCTGAAAATTGGCTGTGATTTATCGAAGTCAGGATGGTATAAATAATGTATGTCTTGCACAGATGGCTTTTTTTGTAATGTAACAACTAATGGCCTGTCAACACAGTATTCCACGTACACAACCTCTACAATGGCCTGCAGTCTCTTTTCTGTATGATAAATGAAGGCCTGTTAGGAGGCAAATTCACTCTAATGGTGTCCTGATATCTTTGATATAATGTGTGATGGTATGCAGAGAGAAAAGCCACACATGTTTAAGGTGTGTAAAGGTAGATAAGGATGCAAATTCTGCAGTGTCAGGCTTTGCTGATGAGCCAAAATGAAAAAATTATTTACCCAATACCTGAAGCCTGATGCATAAATAAAAACTTAAATGATCTCTAGATCATTCAGATTGATTTGTCCACATCCAGTACGGAAATGCGAGGCAAGATGTCCAGTGCTCATGCTAAGAAACCACATTTGAAAAACAAAACAAGTGGAAAAACCTGCATTCAGGAAAAAAAAAAGGCTAAGCCAATCCCATGAGATCTCATTAGGCTTTAGGGCCAGATTTTCTTTCAAGATACAAAAGCTTCTGCTTCAATGTGTTTCTCTTGAAATATTTTAGGACTATGCCCAAGTTCTGACAAACCCACAGTAGCATGGAAGAAACACATCTGCTGGAGTTTCTTTAAAAGGAATTAGAACACCAGCATTACCAACACACAGATTCAGCACAGTCAGCACACATTACCCACCAGAAACTTACCTTTCTGTGATTGTTTCTCTGAGACCACTAGCAACCCCTTTCACCACCGTACTCGCCTTTGGTGTCAGCACTACTTGAGATATAAAAAAAGAGCCCTTCTTTCTTCTTTCAGTGATTGATGCCTGCAGGAATTGAATGAGTTTTTCCGGATCTGTTGTGTTTGCCCAAGGAGCTGGCATCATCTGGCCTGGCCAAAGAAATGGTACCTCAAGAGCCACTGGACTGTGGTAGAACACCAGCACTTGGTGTTCCTTTTCCCACAGATACTGGAGGCTGACTTCATGGGCAAATATAGCAGGACACATTTTGTTTCCATACGTGTCTTTGAGCATTTGGACAAGCTTTTCATGATGGTATTTCTGCATCCCATAGAAGTGATTGAAGTCCAAGAAAACCACTTCTTTTGGGTGGTCAGAGAGAAACGCATTGATCTCTTCCAGACCCTCCTTGACTTTGGCACTGAATAAACCATGAGCAAAGTAGAGTTCATTGTCTGGGTCTCTGGGCTTGGTGGAAATTCTAAGATCAAAATACCGTATACCTGCCCCCAGCTGGCTGGTGAAGTTCATGGTCTGTGTAGCCAACCACTTCCTCATCAGCTTTTTAGCCACAGTCCCAAAAACAGACACAAAATTCTGGACCGTCTCTGGCTGTTCAGGCCCAACTGGAGAGGCTTCATCGATGTAGAAGCTAAATGAGTCATGAGACCCTAAAAACACAACAGAAGAAAATGATCAATATTGTATTCATATATTAAAAGTCATTAGTGATTCTTTCTTAATAAACATAATCTTCCGACCTGTACCAACACTCACCAATGGACTCCTCCCCTGCCCTTTTTCTTAATATACCACATTTGTCTGGCAGCATTTACCCCACCAGCACCTCCCAGGAACTTGAAGGAAAGGCAGTGCCTGTTTCACTGCTCGTCTGGGCACTCCCTCACCCTCTTCTAGCTCTTACTTATGCCTTTAAGCTCACTGAAGTCAGCGGGCTCTGAACGTCAAAGCAATCCTGGCGTAACTCCAGCAAAGCTAGTCACGTAATAAATCCCTAGAGCCAACAAGGAGAGTCTGGTCCTGCACACTGAATTGTGCACCGTCTCGTTTGCAGAACCAAAGAAAAAACCAAACGAAACCAACAACATCCCCCCCACACCTTTATAGCCAACTAAAATAAGGGTTGAAAAATGCCAAGGAAATGTAACCTTTCTGACCTTTTGTTTATTGCAAGTCTCATCTGGTCACCAACAAGGTTACTGAATGCTGTTTTCCTTCTTAAATTTAGTTCTAAAATTCTTTGCTTTCCTTTGCTACAGAAGTACAACACATAGAGACAAGGATAGCATTGCATTCCACTGATAAAATACAGAAACTCCACTGCATGCTTTTGACAAGAGCAAGACATACTACTTAACATGCCTATGTACAGAAGTTATCATTTTCCACAACTTGGTAAGTTGAATACAAATATATAAGACACTTTGCTGTGCAAAATTCTCTCTGTCTCAAGGTACATCCATTAAAAAAAGAACAACCACAAACCAAAAAACCAACAAATTGTTTTGCTCAGCATTTAGACATTTACATGAAAGCAGCTGATAAAGCTAAGGACATCTGCAAACACACGATCATTCTTCTGTAAGGGACTTTGTCTTGCTTTATTGAGAGATGAGCTGACCCTAGGAGATGCTCATCACCCTTGTCTACCACTAGCCTTCTGAATACCTGGTGGGGAAATCTGGCAGTTTATACAGAAATACTGTCTGGCTGCAGGCAGAGCCGCACTCCCACTGTTCCAGCCGGAGGGGATGCTTCTGGTAAGACTCACTGCAGCAAGCAAGCTGCTTCTCAGCCTATGTCACACCGCTTGCAAAACTCCTTCAAGGTCAGCAGGACTTGTATTTCTGAAATGTAACACTAGGCCCTCAGAGATCCAAATCCTAGCATCAAAATGAGTCTAGAGCACAAGTCTTGCCTGCTACTGATGCTTTTGTAGGTGCTTTTCAAAATTGCTTTTCAAAGCACGCATGCTGTGGCAAATAAGCATCACATTAATGAAATCCTGCTAGTCAGTCATTTCTGATGGCGATGCTATTTTAACTGAACTGTAACAAACCCTATAAACTGAAGTGACAGCTGTAACATTTTCTTCTGTAACAATAAATGGAGTCATGACAAGTCATCTTAAACTCTGGCTTGGATTTTGCTTTGTTTAATCTGAGAAATGTCTTAAAATTTTGTACACCCCTGCTTTTTATGTTGTCTCTTTGAACTGCATTTACTTTAAATATTACATAAATTTTCCATTTTGATGAAGCTTTCTACTGCTAAGTGCTGAAGCAATAGCATATTCCTCACAGAGCCTAATTAGATCATGTAGTATCTGGTTACACACTGATATCCCAGAGGACCATATCTGCATACAGAATTTTAATGGTAAAACAAATGATTAGAGCAGTGACTTGTGTTTCCACAGTATTACAGGGAAAATCAATGAGATACATTAAATGTTCTGCTCAATGTAACCTGGACTAATCGAGAAATCAAAGTAAATCCAGTCTTGTTCAAAAAAAGGGTGACATTAGCAAGGGATGAATCTTGCAGGCCCTCACTTTGTCCATTGAAGTCCCTTTTATTTCAGCAGGGTGCCAGAATAAGAACATGTATAAACATGATCAACTGATAGCAGCAGTAGGCTCAAAATGGTATTAAGATTAATTAAACTATTTGTCCTTTATTGTCTGATCTACAGCCACTGGCAACTGAAGTTGCAGAAGAGGTAGCTAAACTTGACCACCATGGACAATATGCAACACAGTGCCAAACACTACTTAAAACTACTGAAGTAGAGAGAGGCAGCGCAGTTCTCACAGCAGAAAACTAAGGCGAACAACTTGTCAGCAGGTAGCTTTTAGCTATTGGTAATGCAAAACACAGAGAAGACTGTGTAGGAGGCGGGGGAAACACCACAGTTAGAAGCGACTGAACATTACAAGCAGGATAGTTTAGAAAAATACTTTTTCTTAATTAAGGTCTTCATGCACATATTTGAGCCTAAAAATGGGGATTCCTATGTGTAAGGTACAGAGAAGAGTGCACAGTGCACTGAGAACCTCCATGTTTTGTAACCCAAACAAGGAGGCTCTATTAAATACTGCAAAAAGAAAATAAGGCTTGACTTAACTTGGTTAACACTGAACGAAGCAGATGTCAGCTATTCAAGAGTATGTAAAGATTCCTCCTGACTGAAAAATGCAGCATATGTTTTGTCTTTCCACATGTATAAGTAATTTGAGCAGGTCGTTTAAATATTTGTTTTCATCATGCACTCATCTACATTTCATTTTGCCTTCATCCTGCCCTGTTGTCCTAACCAGCTTACTCTCATAACTCGGGGAAATTCAAAATTCTTACACTTGGCAGAGCAAATTAGAATATGATCTTTTCCACTGTCATGCCCCAAATCACTATGTTCCTGGTAATGAGAAAATCCTGTACGGACATACATTTGTTTTTAGCAACCAGGTTTCCTTCCAGCTTCACTTTGGTGCATGGGGACATTCCCACCCTACTTTGCCACTGGGAAGTGGGCTTGCAGGTTTGCTGTATCACCAAATCTCAGCTCGCATGAAGACACGATGCAGTGTACATCCAGAAATACTAATGCAATGATGCCTGCAATCTTTGGAAGGTAGCAGTGCTTGCACATCAGCTATCTTTATTATAGTAGGGCAGGGGACACACTGACTTGATGTATGGGACAGTCTCTACAACAGAGACTTCACAGTCTGAGACACAGGGAAGCAAAAGAGAGGGGAATGACTTGTCCCAAGTCGTGCAGGGAGGAGGAGTAAGCTGATATTCCTCTTGTGTGCAAACATATTTTATCACCAGTTTAGTAAGTGTCTAGCACTTTCTTAAAATATTGAACAGTGTTTCCCCACTATTTCAACAATACAACGTATCATTGATCCAAGGAGTCAAGGATGAGGGCTCGCGCGTTAGGATCACGGGGGTGGCAAACAAGGGGTAAACATGGTGTGCATATGCTACAGACTGCCCAGTCAAGAAGAGAAAGTGGACAAAGCCTTCTTTAAACAACTGGAAGAAGTCTCACTATTACAGGGCCTGTTTTCATGGGGAACTTGGAGACATTTGCTGGAAGAGCAGAACAGCAGGGCACAGGCAATCTAAGACATTTTTTCTGCAGGCACTTCTTTAAGCAGACAAGGCACACTGCTGGATGTGGTACGAATTAAGGAAGAAATGGCCAGGGACATGAAGGCTGATGGCAGCCTTAGCCAGAGTGACTGTAAGGTGATGTAAGAATTTAAAATACTGAGGAAAGCAAGGAAGGCAAATAACTGAATACAGATGCCGGATTTCAGAGCAGCAGTCTTAGCTTGCTCAAGAAATTGGTAAGTAGTAGCCTGTGGGAGAATTACCTTAAATGCCAAGGGACTCAGGAAAAACGGTTGAAACTGAAAGACAACCTCTCTAAAGCATATGAACAATCCACCCCAGCACGCAAGAAAACAAAGAGGTAAGGCAGGAGGCAAGTTTGGCTGAATGGATAATTCCTGAGTGAGCTCAAACTTAAAAAGCCATGTACAGAAGGTGTAAGCAAGGACAGGCTCCCTGGGAGGAACAGAGGAGGAATGCAAAGAGAGAGCTAGGAAGTCCACAGCTTGGCTGCAGTTCCAAGGGATGGGAAACCTGCTAGGGATGGGAAATGCAACATAGAGCTCCTGCAGACACGTCAGCACCAAAAGGGAGCAAGGAGAATGCTGGCCCACTGCTGAACAGGGCAGGAGACCTCATAATGCAGGACAAGGAAACTACTGAAGTACTTGGTATCTTCCTTGCCTTAGTCTTCACTGGCAAGGTCTGCTCTTAAGCACCCCATGTCTCTCTGCCTAATGCTTTCTCTTTTTCACACTGCTTCTCATTAGTAAAAGGTGACTGAGGTAAGGACTACTTATATAGATTAGACACATATAAGTAGATGAGACAAGACCGGATTCATCTGAATACGCAGAAGGCACAGGCCAAGATCACTGTAAGGCTGCCCACTCTCACCTTTGACAGGTCATCTTGACTGGGGGAGGCAAAAGTTACACTCATCTTCAAAACGGGAAAGCAGGACAATCCAGGAAACAACAGTCTGTCAGATTCATTTCAGTCCCAGGGACGATCACAGAGCAAATCCTCATGGAAACCATTTCCAGCTTATGAACAGTAAAAAGGTGACTGGGAACAGCTACCATGGATTTAGCGGGAGCAAACCACGACTGACCAACCTGATTGACTGGCTTTGGGGAAAACAAAATCTTCCTTTTACTTCAACAAGGGTTTTAACAGAGTCTCCCTTAATATGCTTGCAGTCTAACTGGGAAGACACCAAGTAGACAAGTGCACTATAAGGTATAGTGAAAAACTGCCTGGACCATCAGGCTCAAAGGTTGTGGCTGAAGGTTCAAAGTCTTAACTTGCAGCTGATTACAAGCCAATTCTGTTTAACATCTTCATCAGTGACACAGACAACGTGATGGAGAGCACCCTCAGCAAGTCTGCAGGTGAAACCAAGTTGGGGGAAGAGGTTAATGCTCTGGAGGGGGAAGCTGGTATTCAGAGAAACTTCAGCACAGCAGAGAAGCTGGATGACAGAAACCTTAAGAAGTTCAAAGGCAAGATGGACCCATGACAGACAACCCCATTCAGTAGCACTGATCAACTGGCTAGAAAGCAGCTCTGCAGAAAAAGACTTGTTCACTTGGACATAAAGAAAAAACTACTGCCCCACAAGACCAGTTAATCCCTGGAGCAGGAGCCCAGCACGGCTGGATGCTGTATCCCTGATTCTCAACGCTTGGCTCAAGAGCCTCGTTTAACTTGGAGTTAGCTCTGCTTTGCGCAAGAAATGGACCAGATGACTTCTGGAGCTCCTTTCCAACCTAAATTACTCTGTGTCTGCTTATTCCCCCCTCCCCCAAGATACAAAAGATTCATTTCCTGTCTCTCAACCTTAGAAGCAGTTATCAAGAGACACTTAAAATGTCTGCACCAGCTGTGATCCAAAAACCAAAAGTGGCCAGTTTCAACCACCGAGACATTACATTTTCATGAACTTAGATGTGGCCAAACACTATTTAGATATTCAAGAGTAAAATGCAGTATTGCAAGAAAACAGCTGCTAGTACTTTTACTAGGGAGAACCGTCTCCTGTTTTCTTTACTGAATTCCTTAATAGGACAATTGGGAATATATAACCCACAACAGCTCTGCTACGGACATATTTATGGCTTCCCTGGAGGGCTAAACCCTCATTTAAAAAATAATTGGGCTCAGTGCTGAAAAACGTCCCTCAGGGAGACTGCGTTTCCATTCAGAATCGTTTCTTCAGTCCCACAGAGATTTACAAAGAGGCACAGTGAAGCTACTATCTTTGGTGGCTAAGTTTTAACATATCGTTCATAAAGCACGCAAGCGTAGCTGAACTTCACTCTGCCCTCCCCTTGCCTCACTGTTGGCTCCCCCTTAACAACCGCTTGATAAACAGCACCTAAAATAGAGGTACTGAATCGAACAGCGCTGCCCAACATGCTCCTGACAGCAGCAATCACACCCTGAATATCTACAAATCACAGGAAAACCACAAACCGATAGAAGCAAAGTTTCACTGTTTTACTCCCCTTCTCCCACAGACCTCAAGCTCCTCCTGTCTCTGCACTGGAAGTTACCCAACAGCTGTTGGAAGTGGACTCTTTTACTACTGCTTTGGGTGTCATTAAAAGCTTTACCTGCTGTTTTCTTCCTATATTTAGAAGATGACATCCCTTGGTGACTATTGCTGAAATGTCACATGCAGTGCAGTCTCACTTTTTTGAAAACATCCTTGTCAATGAGGGCTATTCAGTGACTGACGTGACTGATACCAGATCACAACACCGTTCTTGGATGCTGTGGAGAACAGCTAGGACAAATTCCATGACCTCTGGCACACAGGAGACCAATGCAGATGTTCTCCCAACCTCATTTGGTCTGCTCTCACTGTCTCGTTTGGCCTTAAAAATCAATCAAAGAAAAAAACCCCTATGAATCTTTACCTAGCCACACTGCTATTTCAAAGAATAGCAAACACTAGACTTGCTGCACCTCAATATTGTGTTTTACCTTCTTTTTAAGATGGCTGAGCACTCTTCGCTCCACCAAAGCCACAGCACATCTCAGGAAGTCAAAAGGTTTTACCAAGAGCAATGTAATTCAGACTTCACAGTCCAGTTATCTTTAGCATTTAAACTGCTTGGGTGATACAAGCTTTGTTTGACAAAAATACTACACAGGAGAGCAAAACAAAAAAAACCAGGAAAAAAGAGATTATAGATTGTGCAGTTACTCAGCTTCCCCACAGGTAACTGCCTCACTTCTCAGCTGGTCTTCCAGTGTTCATCACCAGTTTCGAGCCCCTGACACCAACCGCAGGTTACAGAGCTTAGCCAAATATTTACACTCAGCACTCCATGATCCAAAGGAATGGGAAGAGAGGCAGACACTACCTCAGGTAATGCAAAAATCCAGATAATGAACAAGTCAGAGTCAGAACAAGAGTACATGTATGACCCATTCTTGTATACACAGGCCCACTGGCTATGTATCTGATCACATCAAGTTATGATGCAACGTGTACAGACAACTCTCTGCTACCCATAAAACCTCTGCTAGACTCATAAACACTGTCAAAACTGTATGAGAAACAGCGTGGTTCTCCAAGCACTATGCTGCTGTTTCTAGGTAAACCAGCAAAAGAGGCACAGACAGCCCCATGCAAGTCAACTTCAACTTAGGTGAAGAGGAACTGAGAAGCCTAAAACTGCCCCTCTGCAGAGAGACTAGGGAGCTTTCTCCCTGCAATCCCCAAAACTCTTGTTTGAATTAAGAAGCCTGCAGAGACTGAGCTGGCCACCTCCCAGGTCTTACCCACCGAAACCCCATGGTCACAACCAGCCAAACCGCCACAGTTAGCCAAAGGTGCAGGTACCTGGCGAGGAAGCTCATCCACAGTCTCCCTCCCCCACCTCAACCTCCAACAGTTGAATGGGATTTCTGCAACTCCCTACTCGCGAGCAGTTCCCGCATTGTCCATAAATTAGCCCAGATTTTCAGGCAAGGTTGCCTGCAGGACCAGCAGGATCATGCCTGCCTTTTGGCTTTCTGAAGGCTCAGGAAACCTTCTCAATGGAAAGCCAGAGCAGTGGCTGCTCTTCCCAGAGTCCTGGCCAGCCAAACAACCACACATTCTTGTAACTTGGTCTCAGCATGGAAATGGGAATTTTCATTAAAAATAAAAAGTCAGACTTTTCTTTACATGAGAAGAATACTTTATAATACATAAGAATATCTGGGTTTTATTCAAGTGAATTGTCTGATCAGAAAGTAAGAAAAAACTACTTTACAAGCCTGCATTTTGTAGGTGGTGAGCTAGCCCAAACGTAACTCAAATCAAACTGGATCGCCCCTTCTCAAGCAGTGAAAACAGAAGAGCTATTTCACTTTTTGTATATGAAGCTCTGAAGTTTCTATTGAAAAAAAGATGTAAACCAAAATAAAGACATTTTTAAACTAAACCCATTAAACAAACTTGAAATATCTGTGAATTAACATGAACACAAATCATTCCACTTTTTAAATCAAGTCTTTTTCCAGATCATACAGCACAAACCACTTTATATTCTGACAGTTAAATCTTTCATAGGCAACAGTTTTAACCCGTTAAGTAAGTATTTTAATGCCTTCAAACTGTAACTACAGGGATGAATTAACCTTGGTTTTCAATCAGAGATTACCAATAAAGTACAACTCCAGAGCCCAATTCTAAGCACACTTAACTGTTTGAATGATTTTAATTACGTGCACAAATGTCTGCAGGAAAGAGCCCCATTTTGCTTTAGCTTCTGTCAGAATAATAGAATTCTAAATTGCTTTGGAGTTACATTAACACCAGCTAAATTGAAGTCGTTGAATATCTGGGAGCAAGAAGAGGCAGTGACAAAAGAGAAAATGTATTCTGGCTGTGTTTGAGAACGTAAGCAAAAAAGGTGACAGGAGTGATAGGGAATGAAGCTGTTAAAATAACATTTGTTATATTACTATTAACTTTGCAAGAATTTAGATGATGCTGCAAATACAGCACGATCACAATTTCCCCATCAGAAATTCACTCCCCAGTCTGCCCATGTCCTCTGTGCCAGTCCTATCGCCTCCAACAAACTCTTCTCTTCCTCCGCTTGTATCCCCTTCTGCCTTGAAGACCTCAGTGATAATGTGGGAAAAGGAAAGGAAACATTTGTTTCCTTCCTGCCCGGTTACTTCCCGGCACTAGTAGCCTCCCCCTCATTCCCCACCCTCCTCCTGCAGCAGATAAAGGTGCATTTTCCCTCTGCCACCAGGTGAGTCCTGGACCAGCCATCGGAATTGCACATAACCATAACTCGGACCTTGGTCCTGTGCCTAGGGACACGGCATCAGGAGTCTGTGCTGTGCTGCCTTATTGGGACTGTTATTGCAGGCAACGCTGTGTGTCAAAGGGACAATCTGAGAAACCAGACAGGTGCACAGTAATTAGTATGCAAACATTTTAACATGGTTTGCTTGCAAGGGTGAGCAGAACTACTTTGTATTAAAAACCACTTCAAAGTCATGTTTTGTCAATCTCTGCCAGACATGGTTTCTAATACTACTTCTGCCGTAGGTGGACTTCTGCATTTCTCAGCCAAAACATCTCAGCTGGACCACCTTAATCCACATCGCATGTCACAGAGGCAACAGATGCACCAACTACTGGATCAATGGACACAGACTAGAGCTGCACATGGCAAAATACAAAACATTCAAAACCCAGCACAAAGCGACTGCTCTTTGATCAATGTAATACAGAACAGAGAGTTCATCCCTCAGAGAATCACAGAACAGTTGAGTTTGGAAGAGACCTCTGGAGGTCATCTGGTCCAACCCCCCGCCCCGCCCCCGCCTCTCCTCAGTCCAAAGAAAAGTAAGAAAGAAAAATGTTTGCACAGATTACTACAAATCATTGAAGTCTGCTCAAAAAGACCTGTCTGACCCAGCTTCATAGCTAGAAGAAAAAAGAACTGCTAGTCCATCAGTCTGGCGATGGCATCCCGTATCTAGTGTCCAACTTTCAGATCTGGAATGACTCTTATGCTTTTGTCCTCCCCATAAACAAATAATATTTTCACACACAAGAAAGGATTTTAAGCAACTACTTAGTCTTGTTACTCTGGCATCTCCTTATCACCTATGAAATACTCCTGAGGATCATTGTGTTTCGTGCTTTTGACTATGGCTACAATTGCCTCCAAGGGGAACCGATGACTGTTGCCATTGCCAATAATCTCCATGGCCATGACGAACCGCT